GCGTCGGTGTCATCGTCTGGCGAACCTGCAGCACCGTCACGGAACCGAGGAGTAGATCATGAAATCCAACGGTCAAAATCCGCCCCACTAAACACGAATCAGATCAATTAATACAGAGTGGTGGCCCGCAATAAATATCACATCAATAGTATACTTATAACAAAAAAAAATTTTACAATCCGCACTGATTCAGCTGTAAACATTAATCACTTATTAGGAATTAGATTTTTTGGATATTAAAGAATTTTTTTATTAGGTGATTTTTGTTTTATTGTTCAGATTAATTTACATTATAAAATAAAATTAATTATTTAAATTATTTAATAATTATTTTTTTAGTTAAAAGTAAAAAATTCTAAATTTAAATCAAATGCTATGCAAGTAAGATAAAATAAAGAATGAAAAATAATTATCTCTCATTATGTAACTAAAATAAAAAAAATTATAAAATAAAATATCTTATTTATAATATTATGTATAGTTATAAATTTGTAGTTATAAATTTATAATTACTAAGTATTATTATATAAATATTATATATAATAAATACATATAATATTATAAATACACATTAAAAAATTAATTATATAATATAACACATATTATAAACTCATAATATCAAAATTTTAAATAATATTGAAACTATATTATTTTGTAAATTTTTTTTGAACAGTGTAAAATTCTTTTTTTTTTGGGGGAAGGGAGGAAAGGGCTTGGGATTTTATCCAAACTCTTCAAGCCTAAGCACGTCTCGGCAGGGATGGCCATCGGCCACAAAGTGCTGAACTATATTATTTTGTAAATTTTTTTTTAACAGTGTAAAATTCTTTTTATTTGGGGAAAGGAAAAAGGGGCTTAGGATTTAATCCCAAACTTTTTAGTTTTAAGCACGTCCTGGCAGGAGTGACCATTGAGCCACCAAGTGCTGGACTATATTATTTTGTAAATAACTAAAAATATATCTTAGTTTATTATTTAAATTAAACTAAGTTAAATTATAAACCAACAACCAAAAAAATAAAAATAAAGCAATCAATATTAAAAAAAACTCAACCTTATTTAATAATTATAATTATACAACTGAATACAACGTGAACCGCACCACTCTTTTTCATAACTGCATATCACGGCTACTACTACTTTATAAAAACTATGAAACTCTAGGTTCCTCCCTCCTTACCCGGGGGAGTCCATTTTCCCGAAACAGCTAATCTGAAGAAAGAGGAATCAGGATCAACTCTACCCCCTCCCAAGACGCAATAACTCCTACCTTCTTACTGAAACAAAACTCAACAAAAACTGCGAAAACAAACACGCACAGATTCCTATCCAGAAACCCCTAAAATTCTGTTTCCGTTTCTGTTTCGAAATGAAGGATGATGACACTCTTCCGACGACGGCGACGACGGTAACCAATGTGAAGAAGGAGAACTCCGATTCCAGTCAATATGGTAGAGGCCGGTACAAGTTCTGGGCGTTAGCGGCCATTCTGTTGCTCGCATTCTGGTCGATGCTCACCGGCACCGTAAACCTCCGATGGTCTGCCGGTAATCTTAACCGCCTTTCGGATGATCTCGAGCCTCCTATCCATTACGATCTCGATGTCCTCGTGCGTTTCGCAAACACTGTCTATTTTTAATATTCAATATAGATGTTCCGTGTTAGTGTGTTTCTGAAGATCTCTCGGTTCGAATTTGTAGGAAATGGAGGAGAGGGAGAAGGTGGTGAAGCATATGTGGGATGTATATACTAACGGCCGTCGGATCAGATTAACGAGATTTTGGCAGGAGGCTTTTAAGGCGGCGTACGAGGACTTGATCAGTGATGTGCCTGGAGTCAGGGAGGCTGCAATCACGGAGATCGCCAAGATGTCTATACGCTCCGTTGTTATTGATCCTCCTCCCGTCCAATCAACTGTAAGGATTTAGGGTTTTCGTTGTTTATTGTAAGTTGATTTGCTTCGCATATGAATTTACTGTATAAAAAGCTAGAATCTGCATTGATCTCTAACACATGGTTGGTTGAAGGTTAGGTTTAAATTAGTGGTTGGTACTTGCCAATGCAGTCAGCTGTTTATTAATGAGTGATTATCCACTGAGATGTAAAAATGGCTAAGAAAGCGATAGGTAGCTCCCGCAATAATCAATGGCTTCATCTGATTGGGATAATGGTTTATAGGATGCAATTATGATATCTTGAATTTTTGACCATATTGGATGATGGAATGTAATTTTCTTTTTACATTCTAGATATTAATCCCATCTTCCTTGTAGTAGTAGGGTTTTGAATTGTATCTGGACTTTTATGAGAGATGAATTCCTGGCTGTCCTTTCCTTTAACATTTCTGGTAAATGGTAATGCTAATGCTTCTTTTGTGTTGAGGTGCAGGGAAGTTTTTCTGTCTTGAACTTTAATTATGCCTCAGTTTGTAATATGATAATAATCTGATGATTAGAACTTATTATGAGATTGTCTGGAGAGCAAGAGTAGGTTTAACTGCTTAGGCTTCTTTTGGTGTTGCTTGAAAATTTCCATGATATCCTTGGTTGGCCAACCAATTTAATATATCATATCTTCTTGATGAATGTTATTCATCATGTTGCATGCATATATTGTATGAGCGTGTTGTTTGCTTCTTCTTTTTTTTTAAATAATCCTTAGATTTACACTGTTAGCCTCTAAATTGGCTTTCATGACTCATGAATCTGTCTTCACAGTATATATATATATTTTTTGGATAGCTCCATTCTACTCTTATCAGAGTTCTCAGATTTTTTTTCCTTGGCCATGTATGAATATTTCTCTACTACAGTTCTATGGAAATACATATCCTAGTTAATTTTTTTTAGTCAATATTTCCTAAGTTAGTTTAAAGATCCTTCTACCATTTTGATTTTCCCTATTCACAGAAATAGCAATTTCATGGCCCATAAATTCTTTCTAAATCTGATTTTGTGATCACTGTCTTTCTTTGAAACGGGTTCTGTGCCATTTGGGTTGTTGGTCAACTAGAGTTTCCAGGATAGCATATGTGTTGTATGTAGTGGACGCCAGTGGGTTACATCTGGACATCTTGCATAATTTGCTGCAAAAAGATATCTGCTTAGGAATTATTGGACCAATTTATTTGATTCTCTACAATTTTTACATGAATTGACTTTGCTAAAGGAACTAACCATATCAAACACTAATTCATCAACCACTAAGGTATAGGTAGCTACTCAACCACTTCTGTGTTGCTTATTAGAAAGAAGCCTTTCTGGATTTGAGCAAAAACTTGGAGCCAAACTGCTTGCTTCACTCGTTTTGATTTGAAAAATGAGGGAACATAAAGTGTAGACTTCTCCCCCACATTGTTCTTAAGCAGTCATTATCACATCATTAAATTGCATTTGTAAATCACTACCCTTTTTTAGCAGCTATCATGTTTGAACTTGGTGAAAGTAAATATATTTTGCATTTATTTTCTGTGATTTTTATGTGCTGCTTCATCTCATGTTATATGCTATAAGTCTTCCAACCTTGTCTGATTTGCACTGAAAATGGGTAACCATATTGGTGGTTGAGACCTCAAAAGCTGTTAGCCTGAACATTATAATTTAACCATAGATGATTTGGTGGGATCATTGAAATCAAATTGACCAAGCTACTAAATAAGTCAGGTATCTAATGCATTGTCTTAAATGCACTCACACAACCACCAAACTCTATGCCTATTGGCTTTCAATATTTTAATGAATGATTCGAGTACAAAATTTCATTATATTTGATGATTCTGTGAAATATCTCACTCTTATCTTTTAATTGGCCTGATTTGATGATACAGCTGTTGTTAGAATAGAAGCCTTTGAAATTGTGGAAATGAGATGGCAGTTATATTATTATCTATGTTAGGCTGTTTGTCACTGTTCCCCATTCTCTGTTATTAGATTGTTAGACTGTGTATAGAAATTAACATGGATTTTGTCCTTGTGTTCTTTCCATTTATATTTTTCAGAATGTAAGAGAATTGAGCAAGACTCTGAAGCAAGCAGAGAAAGCTGCAAGCAAGGTAACTTCACTTAGGAATGGTCAATGATGCAAAGAATGCTGAGGATATGATATGAAGCTTCAAAATTTAACTACTTTGTACTCTCAGTTGCTGAAATGCTATCCGAATATTGTAAGAGGTAGTAGTTAGAGGGAAAAAGCAAAACCATAGTTGATGTTTTTATATAACAGGAACAATTATGCATTTAGTTAGGTTCTCATTCTTCCAAATTTTGCCATCACATTCTTGTCCTGCATTATAAACTGAAACAATCTTCTTTTAGCAGATAGCTTGAAAAATGATAGAATTTTCATGAGATTTCTTTGATATAAATTTAAGTGAAAAGAATTCTTTGAACCCATTCCTTGGTCTCTTTACCAGTTCATACATTTCTTTTTGGTTAACATAACTTTTTACAGATACAGCTAGATTTATCGGCTAGCAAGTTTTTGTATGCCAATTTCTCCATAGCATGAGGCTTTACAGAACTTGATTTGGGTGTTAATTACAATTGAAATGTTTCATCCTTACATTCTCATGCCGAGGGTGCACAAGCAACACAACTGCACAACTACCATTTGGTTGCTACTTCCTATCCCAGTTAATTTAGGTTTCCTCGAGGTCTCTACATCTCTGAACCAGATTCTCTGTATGGTTGGCCTAAGAAAAATAAAGAAAAGTAATTAGATTGTCTGTACGAATAATTGAACAAATATGCCCCCCCTTCTTTTCCTTTTTCTGTTCTTTGGTATATTTGGGAGAGGATGATGGATATTAGACGTGTTTGGACATATTGTACTAAACAACACAACAACTACGGTTATGTGAGTGCGAATTCTTTTGACATGAAAGGTTATTTTTTTGTTTATCAATCTATAATTATAAAATT